GAGAGAGAGAGAGAGAGAGAGAGAGAGAGAGAGAGAGAGAGCTGCGCTCACTATGTGAGGAGATGACGACTCGAGGACCTACTGTGTGGAGACACAGGACACAACGCTGTTTATTGAATCTGAGATTCCTATACAGCCATTGGCTGGACTTTCATTCCATTACACGATGCATTTTGACGTCTACACATCCAGGCGCAGATCATCCACCTGGCCAATCTGCATGTCCGTGCTCATTTCTAGATTGGCAACTGTGACACTAAGTTGTGAACTACTGATAAACTTTAATCTCAGCATTCAACATGCAGTTCGTGGCAGACATGTCCTTTCCCCTTTCAGAATCTCATGACGTATTTTTTTGCTATTTTTTTTTCTCTAATAAAAGATTAGGGAATGATTGAAGCAAGAAAAGTCCCCAGGGGCCATGAAATTGAGGAATTCTTTTTTTTCTATTAAAAAAAAAAGACAAAAAAAAACTCAGTTCCCAGACAATTAGAAGCATGATCCTTTCAGATGACTTCACGACGAGCACCCTTCTTGATGCACGTCTGATTGCCTCCATCGCTCCAATACAACGATCGACAGACAATATTCTAGACTATATTGTCCTCAATGACAACTCACCCATTGATTGGGTCTGTGCGGTAAAATTCTAGAAATATGAAATGCCGACAAGGATTTGACAGAGGGGGGAGCTCATACCACCCTCTCTGGTGGGTCAAGGCGGGTTAAAAGAAAAAAAAAAAGAAGAAAAGAGAAGGACAAGGACTTTACGTTGATTGGACAGTTAACGAACTCACGACACACAAAGTCGGACAACCAATTCCATTGGACATTTTTCGCTGAATACGTTGAAATTTTTTCAAAAATTCAAAACTCCAACACTGATCACCCTTTCATTTGGTTCGATCTTTACAATCAATCATATTATTGAATCGTACATAAATATCCAGCACTTATTACCCTCTCAATTCCTTATACATATTACATTTCGAATGTTCAACTCAAATTTGTACTTACTTGAAATTATTTTACATAAATGCATTTCATCGTTTCTTTTTCAACACGTACTTACTTAAACTTATTTAACATAAATCATCCCCGCCGACCGGTCGGGCCGACGGCCGTCGATGATAAATGCATTTCATCGTTTCTTTTTCAACACGTACAAAAAATGCATATAGTGTCACCATCATGACCTCAAAATGACTCGTCCATGAACGTCACAAGCATATCAGCAACCAGCCCACGATTAGGAATGGATGCTGCAGCTCCATAAATTGGGGCCAACCCCCTTGACTTTTCATCTGGATCGTTTCGCACCTGCAATAGAAGGCACAGGCGAGGCAGAAGCAAACATCATGAACACAGTGTAGCCAGAGTCTTCTATCAGACAATTCTCTCAACAACTATCAAGTGCAGAACTCCAATAGTCAACTCAAAAGTTCGTGGACTGTCCGTTGTCGGCGGCATCCTTGTTTAGTTCGACCGGTCTCTGGGGTACGAGAAGGCCATGGAACTGTCAATGGGAGAGGGGGGGGGGGCGAAGAGAGGTGAGGCACATTGATTGATAGGAAAAAAAATAAATTGAAATGATCAACGGATGGATGGATGGATGGATGGATGGACCGGCGGACGGACGAACGGACTGACCGTCAGATCGACGAACGGACGGACGGACGGACGGATGGACCGACCAACTGACCGACCGGCCGCCCGATGCATAGATAAGCAGACAAGACAAATTAGCTAGACAGATAGACAGACAGGTAGAGTAGATAGACTACGCAGACAGAAAGAAAGATCATGTAGATAGACCGACCGGGTGATGCCCGATGCATACATAGAATACCTGATGCATAGATAGCTGTATTCAGGGCAACTTTCAGTCCAGACACAGCTATAACGACCCGGTGTTTTATTCGGGTGAAGCCAGTAGCAGTTCGTAAGGTTTGCCAAAAGCCAGACAATGCTGGCAGAAATTCTCCCATGCCTTAGACTCTCAGTAACTTGTACCAAGTTGTACGCATGGCCTAGGGTAGGATATTGATTCCAATTTCTCCCATGCTGGCAGAAATTCTCCCATGCCTTAGACTGTCAGCCCCTCATGTGCCTCGGGGACGCAACAAGTGTGCGAGCAGCATAAGTATTGACTTCAGGGACAAGGTCAACAGTGCTGCTTGTATAACGAGTGGAATTGCAAGATTGCCTAGGGTAGGAGATTGATTCCAATTATTCCACTTTGAGCCTAACATTAATTATAGAATCGCCATGAGGTGTGGAAATGCGATAAGGTCTGACCACGATGGTGTCGCGGAACCGTTGAACTTGTCTGTTGTCTGTGTCTCTGCTTTTTTCTTCCACTCCCAAAAATGTTCGGTGGGCCTCAAGGGGGGATTGGCTAGGGATCTGCCAAGTCAATGGTTGGGGGACAAAGCCGCTTAGAGTGGGCCCGCAATACATCCGGTTGGAGGTTGGATCTGTTGGGACAGAGTTTGATCTCTGGTGGCAAGCTGTATGGTGTGGAAGGGACACAACTTGCGATCGGACTTAGGGCTCTAAGTCCATAGAGGACTCCATCTAGGAAGTTCCTGAGGGCCAAGTGGGTCATTCCGATCTTCGAGTGACCGAACCCCGGAGAGTTTCCCCCCCACTGATACCCTGACTGTACAACAACCTGGGCGTTTCCAAAAAAAAAACCTCTTATCTTTTTTTTTTTTTTTTCTCTCCCCCCCTCCCCCCCCCCGCTCTCTCCCCCCCCTTTTGACCTTGAAAATGGGTGGTAGGGCCCAAACAATTTTTGCCATCTGCATTAAACTTAATGTTCCTTCTTGCATTCTTGCTCCTCCAGATGCACATATCCCTATCCCTATCCCTATACTACTAAAGGAAACAGCGGTCCTCGCATGGGGCCCAACAGAAACCGGGCGCCTCCGCGTGGGACCGGTAACGACCAGCGGCCAAGGGGGAACCGGCGGAGCCAACTGCGGGACCGGCGGGGCCAGGTATGACGCACGCCGACGCGAAACGGCGCAGGGGGAAAAAGGGCAGGGCCTGGCAGCCGCGGGTTTGGAGACTGCGGAACCGGAGGCAGGAGCGAGGGGACGTGCAAACACGAGGGAGGACATCAAACGGCGAGACGCGAAGGGGGACGCAGATCGTGTGTGGGACGCAGATCGTGTGTGTGTGTGTAGAGAGAGAGAGAGAGAGAGAGAGAGAGAGAGAGAGAGAGAGAGAGAGAGAGAGAGAGAGAGAGAGAGAGAGAGAGAGAGA